ATGCCAGAGGGGAGATATGAGATGCCAGAGGGGAGATATGGTGCACCAGCCGTAGCGATGCCAGAGGGGCCGCCGTGTGGGGTCCCATCGCCAGGCTCCCTAGCTCAACCGACAGCCCTCGCACTCTCTCGTCCTCCGCTACCCCCCGAACCTTCCCGGAGCCTTCCCGGAGCCTTCCCGGAACCGTCTAAGACCCCTCCTAGGCGGGGTGACGTACCGCCCCTTCGTGCACGGCGAGCCGGACGGCGGCTTCGCCGAGCTCACCTTTTGCGTGGTGCGGAGCGACGCCCAGGTGTGCCCGGCCCGCCGCCCCGACCTCTGGGGCTCCTCTCTCGCACCGCGTCTGTTCTCTCCGCTCCCCCCGCTCTGCCTGCCTCTGCGCGCTGTTCACTGCGTCAGTGGGAGAGCGTGAGGTCTCCCCCCAGACCCCAAGCGTCGCCACGTCTCCTGAGCTGTGTGCGCGGGGAGATGTGGCAGCCGAGCCGGCTGAGTGTCTTGTGAGCTTGTGTGTGTGTGTGTGTGTGTGTGTGTGTGTGCCGCTCCCAGCGTGCCGTCATCTCCTGTCTCGCGTCCACACCCATCCCATACTGCGCGCCGGTGTCCCAGCCCGCTCCTCTGGCTGCTCCTCCCCTCATTCCTGACTCACTACGCAGGCGCGCGCGCCTCGGGACGCGCCGAGTCCCATACCTCCAGAGTACCGAACCCAGTGTGGGTTCCCGCCCGTGGGTGGTGTGGTAGGTGCGCGGCCTCGGGACGCCATATCTCCCCATATCTCCCCACACCTCCCCACATCTCCCCACATCTCCCCACATCTCCCCATCTCTCAGGTGCGCGGCCTCGGCACGCGCCTGATGAACCACCTCAAGGCCCAGCTTGTCGGACTGGGCTGCAACAGCCTCCTGACGTACGCAGACGAGTCGGCAGCCGCCGGTAGAGTCCCATACCTCCAGAGTATCGAATCCGTCTCTCCCCACCTCTCCCCATCTCTCCCCATCTCTCCCCGTCTCTCTCGCCCCGCGCGAGCACAGGCGCTCCTCCGCTCCTACCGCACCACCCACGGACCTGAACCCACACTGGGTTCGGCACTCTGGAGGTATGGGACTAGGCGCTCGGCTTCTTCCTGCAGCAGGGCTTCACCGACTCCGTCTCGCTCCCCGCGGCGCGCTAGCAGTAGCAGCAGCAGTAGCCGAGATCACCCGAGATCACCCGAGATCGCCCGAGATCACCCGAGATCACCCGAGATCATCCGAGATCACCCGAGATCATCCGAGATCATCCGAGATCACCCGAGATCACCCGAGATCACCCGAGATCACCCGAGATCACCCTAGATCACCCGAGATCACCCGAGATCACCCGAGATCACCCGAGATCACCCCGAGATCACCCGAGATCGCCCGAGTCTGGCAGGCGCGCTACTCTGGCCGCGTCAAGGAGTACGACCACGGGAGGATGATGCAGTGCGAGCTGCACAAGGAAATGCGCAGACGCCCTAGAAGCTCGGAAGGGTTGGAGCATGCTCTTGTACTGGCCCGCCCTCGCCCCACCACCGGCGTGTGTGTGTGTGTGTGTGTGTGTGTGTGAGTGTGCTGTGTGTGTGTGTGTGTGTGTGTGTGTGTGTGGGGAGAGGTGTCCCTTCCCTCACCGCACCTTCGCGCCGCAGGCCGTACACGCGGCTCCCCCACTGCATCGGCACCGCGCGCCGGCGCGCCATGTCCGAGTGGGTCGCCAGCGGCGGCGGCGTGCGCGTGGCGGCGGGCGGAGCGAAGAAGCGGGCTAGGCCTGGGACTGGGCGCTGCGGCGGCGGCGAGCCCGGCGCGAGCCGCGAGGAGCAGGGCGACGCCGAGGGCGAGGGCGAGGGCGAGGGCGAGGGCGAGGGCGGCGGCGGCGGCGGCGGAGAGGAGGAGGCGGCGGAGGAGGAGGGCGACGAGGCGATGGACGGTGGCGACGACGACGACGAGGAGGAGGAGGAGGAGGAGGCGCGGGTGCGGGCGGCGAGGGAGCTGGACGAGCCGGCGGCACCAGAGCCCACACTGGGTTCGATACCCTGGAGGTATGGGACTAGGCGCGGGAGCTGGACGAGCTCGTGGCCGGCCCGTCGCTCGTGAGCCTCCTCGCCCACGCAGAGGCGAGATATGGGGAGATGCGGGGAGATGCGGGGAGATATGGGGAGATATGAGCCTCCTCGCCCACGCAGAGGCGCGTCACTC